CTCAAAAACGAATCAGAGAGGCCAGTTCGATTCGACCAAAATTTTACCGAACATTTATTGATTCTTTTCATAGTCGATTCTTTTTCAATACAACTACAATTGATTCTCTTGAAAATGCAATAATAACAAATCACGTTTAGCCCATGTTTGACAACCATTATTTGGATAAAATCGAGTTTTGAACAGTTACTTTTTGGAGAATGTATATGTGTGGTTAAAAAATAAGCAAAACATTTGAATTTACGTGCATGCTTGAAAATGAGTATGAATAAAAAAGAGTGTTGAAATAATGGTTGTCGAACAAGGGCTTAATTGGATTTAGTGCAAGGTAATTTTTGGGGTTTTTCTTTTTATTTCGTAAAATTGGCCTCAATTTTTTTTTTATTAATTGATTTAGATAAAAAATTGTCGTTATGCCTCTACGTCTACGAGCAAGGGAGTTTTTCATTAGCAGCTGTGACCCGCATCACATCAATTATTGGGCCTTACTGGGCCGCAGTTCAGTAGAAGGAAAGAGGCTAGGCACAGGTAAGAAATAGGCCACACGTATAGGTCCAAATGCATTATTTTTGAAAACCAAAACACAGAGACCAATGTTTAAGCCCACATCCCACCAACAGACACATAAATAAGAATGGGCAAATTAGGCCTAATGTCCTAAAAAAATAATTAAATTGATTAATACCCTATTGACTAATTAAATCTTTTAAGAACGTAATTAATACGTTATAAAACCCCCTGAAACCTCCCAAGCCCCTGAACACAGGCACAGAGGAATATGAATTATAGCCAATTCCTAGGTGGGCTCTCCGCGTTTTCCTTCCCATTTTCCGGCAACTTTGGACAATCTATCAAAAAAATCAACTTACAGTCGTGGAAGCTTAAAACATATGCATAAAATTGTAAATATAGAATTGGAGAGTGCCTTGAAGTAAGAGATTTGCCATGGAAGGGAGGCGATGTTCGATTATAGGTTTTTGAGCTATGGAATCTTCGGTTCCTTTTTCTCGAGATGTTGATCGGATTTCCCACCAGAAAGTGTTTCTGGCATGGACAAATATATGCCGTGTTAACGTACTTCGTGAAGTTTTGCGTTATTGAGGGTTAAGTTTGAATAAAAATGCTCATTTTAAGAAAGCAAGAAACTATTTGAAGTAAACTCTACAATGTTTTTGTTCATTTGGAGATCAAGAAATTTAAAGCTCTCATTGCCAAAAAAATTTAAGTTGCCTGAAAAAAAACAATGGGATGCAAACTTTAGCGCATGGATTATACTGACAAATTGTTAAGCAAAGGCCAACACAATATGAGCCCTATTTGAGTGTTTTTCCAAGCACCAACAAGGCAATAAACTACCGAAAATACT